TCTGTATACAAAGATAGCAGTCTACTTTGTGGATAGAAGACATCCTCAGAGACGTTATCAATATGGATGCAATGACTCTGGTGACTATACTCAAGTTTGAGAGCCACTTCTTGAAACAACTTAACTACCATGCACAGTTTCAATACACATTGTGTTTTAACTTGCACAGCTGTATTTGTCATTCATACACTCAATAACAGTTCACATTTAGCAATAACATCAAAAATAATTATTTTCAACAACATTTTCATTATAATTTGATGTTTTTAGTTTAGACTATTCATAGCAAAATGATGGCTGATGAAAGTAATGATTTTGCAAAGTGAGCAATTGGCGAGTTAAATTTATAGCATTGTACATGAAGCTTAGAATGGTAGAGTGATATTGATTGATTCCTTTCTGGATGTGCTGATAGTCAAAAATAATAAGATTTAATCATCTTGGTTCAGACACTGAATTAAGAATTCAATGTTTATCTATTAATGTTCATCATCATGTGCCAGCTATTTTGATACATTTATCTTCTTTACAAGTATGCCTTTACAATGTATTGCCAAAAATGACTATTATTATAGATTATGATATAAGTAAATGTTGCTTTTTATTGATTTTTGAGGTGCCCTTTTAAATTTACAGAGCAAAAATGAAACAACTGAGAATGTGAATTTAATTTGCTTCGCCTAGCATTAATTTTGTTTTTGCTTTGGGGATTCTGTACTGTGTATATAATAAGCTGCATCTTGTGTGAAGTGAGTACTGGCAGTTGTGCCTTCAACTCCATTCTAGTTATTGGCAGGAAACTTGGCAACACATAACTTTCAAAATAAACAAAGCTTAATAATGTCTTACGTACTCAAAAGTAATGCATTAATAAAATACAACAGCTTATTAAAAATAATATAGCCTGTCTCCTACTATTACTTGTTTCTTTTTAATGTTCTTTGTTTTTCTGCATGTTCAACAATCTTCTCATCCACTGCCAGTCCTTTTCTTTTCCTCACTGAGTTCATGTATATTCTTGCTTGACTCTCAGTGTCTGCTTTCTCTCCATAATGTTATAATTCCATCTTAGTTTTTTATTCCTTTAATTTTTTTAATTTAATTTTTATTTTTTTATTATTTTTTTATTTTTAAAATTTAAAATTTTTTTCTTTCCTTCATTTCCCTTATCACAGAGTACAGACTTTATTTCATTTTTATTTTTTTAATTTAAAAAATTTTTAAATTTATTTCATTAAAAATAATTAGTATTAAAGTGAATTTTTAATTTTTTAAATAATATTATATTGAGAGCAGAAAAATTTTTAAGTGTAAAAATAGAATAAAATAAAGTAAAATTTTTTTAATTTATTATTATTTTTGATTATTTTTATTTATATACCTATTTATTTATTTTTATTTATTTTTCTTTTCTTTATAATTTTGATTTAAAAATTTTTTTGTTATTATTTTGTTTTT